AAGTGCTGGAAAAACAAAACAGAATAAAAACAGCAGCAGAGAAAGGGCGGGAAGATCACAGAGCCGAAATAGAGCGCTGGGATTCAGAGGAGCGCCAGTCCCCTGACAAACTAAACAGAGAAGCACAGTCTGGTTTTGATTTTTGCTCCAAACACACACACACACGGCCATCCTCTCTTAGTTTTCAGCTTCTCTGTCTGAGTCGTTTCTTCGACCACACCCCTAGTTCCTCCCTCTTTTCAGCCCGAGACACACATATGAGTGCACACATTGATTTCACAGTTTATAAGTTATAGCTTTACCACAAGGCATTAGAGTTCCCTATGCCCTCTAATCACGTCTATGACCAGCTTCATCTTTTAGGTCAACAGTTTCCTCACGTTTAATCGCAGCTACCTGAATAATAACAAATCCGGATCGCATTCTTGCAATCTTCTGGGCAGGCACTGTGTATTTGTTTCCGCTTTTGACCTTACTGAAAAGTCCATTAGGAGGAAAACACAAAACCTCGAAAGATTGAGGATTTGCCGTCCCCTGAGCCGTGTTCTGGGCGGACACGTGGGTTGCTCAGTGTAGAGGTCAGTTGGATCTAGAGTTACTAAACTAGAGTTCTTGTTCTCCTCGCTGTTTATGTGTATCTTCAGGTCAGAGCAAAAGCATTCCCCTCCACACACACACACACACACACACATGCAAGGAACAGCGTGTTCCAGCCTGTCCAAGCTGTCTTTATTAATACCGACTCGGTCTGGGTATGTTGGAGCATTCCAAGAGTCTGCAAGGTCATCCCTGAACTGACAAAGATCTCCGGGACTCATCCATCTCCAAAAAGCATCAACCCATGATCAAACATGCGATACGTTCAGTCTCACACAGCATGATTCTCAAAGACGGGATCAAGAAAGAGGAACACACTAATGACTGTATTCAGGTTACAAATGTTAATGCACAGAGACATATTAAAGAATAATAAAGCTGCATCAGTTTAAACAAGGACGCAGCGATCTGAAAACAAAATTACTATTTAAGATGTGAAGCTAATGTTAATGCCAAATGCTAGTTGACACAAACGCTTCTTCTATTATCCAAGATCTGCCAAACGCTGAAAACACACACCCAGATGAAGGTTGATGTGGGCCGAACGTATTTCCATAACCTGCAGGAATGAGGTCAGCTGACTGCAGTGTGCAGTGACATAGATGTACAACAGGTCTGAGTCAACACAGCATGTGCAGAGAGTGTGTGTGTCCCACTGTCCAAAACACTGCTTTACCAAAACTGTTTTCATTCCCAGCATTGCCACAAGGGGTGCAAAAGCACACATCAGTGTAAGTATGTTTCGGGTCGTCAGGCTTCCTTACACACACACACACACACACACACACACACAGAGAGAGAGAAACTGAACTGTTATATAGGCTGCACTGGTGATGGATGGCAAACACGCCCATGATAGATTAGCGTTGCCCCTTTGCAACCCCCCGGAGCGTCACTAAACAACCCGTGGACCTTTAATGAAACTGTGGCTTTAAGAATGCCCTGCATTACAGAAAACAGGGGGAGGAAACCTGTCCTGAGAAAACTCATACGGCAGGGTGAAGACAGCCTACCGACCACTGTGTGTGTGTGTGAGAGAGAGAAACTTGTCTGAAGTTTTTTTTAAAATGTACATTTTGTGTTTATTTGTGGTTGTCCATAGTTTAAAACAGTTGTCAGATGTGCTGCAGTGGAAGTGAACAGTGATGTGAATCAGACATGCAAACCGTCAGAAATGTTTAATACGAGCCAAGCCTCGGGAGCGAGTGTGTTTGCTGGACTGTGTGACTCTACGGCCTGAACCCTGGCTGATCCTGTCTGTCTGTTTACAGTCATTTACAGATGAGGTTTGGAACTCGTGAATCAAAAGCAAAAGATGGGAGATGATCATCTGCCAGTGTCTGACTAATTCACTAAGTCAACATCAAATCAAAATCATCTTTACTGAACGCACTTACGTTTAATAATAATACGTTTAATTGCCTGTTATTTAGGGAAAAAAATAAAGGTAACACATTCACATGAACTAAGAAAGAACACGTCTTCAACAGCATTTATAAATCTTAGTTAATATTAATTTCAACATTTACACTCTAAAAATGCTGGGTTGTTTTAACCCAACTTTGGGTCAAATATGGACAAACCCAAACATTGGGTTAAAAACGTAATTGAAAAATTGAACCCGATGGCTGGGTTCATCCATATTTGACCCAAAGTTGGGTTAAAAACAACCCAGCATTTTTAGAGTGTACTAATGCGTTATTAAAACCAAAGGTTGTGTTTGTTAACATTAGTTACTGCACTGTGAACTAACATGAACACACAATCAACAGCTGGATTTATATTAACTAACATTAATAAATACTGTAATAATGTATTATCTAATGAACCTTATTGTAAAGTGCTACAAAAATAAGCTAAACCAATAAGATCACAACTAACTTTTCACGACCCAATCAAATCCCAATGGATTTCAGTCCTGCTCTACATTATCGTCCAATAAATGTTCACTTTTGCTCCAATCCTCACGCCATTGGCTGAGCCTCATGCTCAAACGGCCCTGTTTTCTGTGGGCTTACCGAAGTGAAAGGCCAGCGCGGCCCGCGGTGATATCTTTGTGTCGGAGTGCTTCCTGTTTTCATTGCCGGCTGACCCTCCTCTTAGCAGGAGACACACTGAGGGCGCCAACGCACTAATTGAGAGGATCCAAAGTTTGTCTCCATTAAACTGTTGGGCGACCCTGGTGCGATGACTGTGAGCCTAGTGGAACGCTCTTCTCTCTCCCTCATTAAATATGAAGTCTAATAGAGCAATACGCCCCACAGAGGAGTTTATCTTTCCGATAACATAAGCTCTGTGCCGTATGGGAAAGCTTACATCAGCCATCTGGGATTTCCTCCCCGCTAATGGCACTGGAAGAGATCCAGGAGCTCCAGGAGCGAGAGCACATCTCTCGGGCTTCACGGCAGCGTGTTCTGACCCAAACGCCCCACTTCAGTCAGGAGGCGAACGAGCCTCTCTCGTGGGGTTATCCTTTGGGATTTGGCCCCAGATGACCCGCCGGATCGGAGAGGTAAGGGTGGGCTCACAGCGTCAGTGTTCCTCAGGAGAGGAGGCCATCGATTTTAGCCCACAATTGTAACTGTTAGCTGGCGCCTTGTTTCGTGGGCTCGGGGGGATGGAGACGGGGGCAGGGAAGGGGTTACGTCCTTTTGAGCCCCTCAGAATGAGTGACAATGGCTCAATGTTGAGAACATATGTAAAGGGACCCCCACCGCTCGTGGAGGAGCAGCTCCGCTTTGGCCCCGCGGTTGAGAAAATACAACCTCGCCGCTTTTCTTTTGCACCCTTGAATGAATGGTTGAATGGAGAGCTGCCGCTACGGGCCATTCAGGGCCAGCGTCCCCATGAATTCACCCGCACACAAATGCATCCTGAACTGGAAAATACATTTGCTTAACAAATTAAAATAAAAGGCCTGATGTGTTAGTGTGTGGCGCGGCCGCGCGCTGTAAAGGACAGCGGTTGGTACTTTGGGATAATTCAATTAAGCCTTTTTGGTCCGAAAAAAAAAAGAAAATAGAAAGGTGCGTTAAAAAGAATGAATTATTACTCGCACACATAAAAGACTAACATCTAAAAGGACGACGGAAACTCCTGTATTTCCATTAGTGGAAACTTCTGCCGTTTTAACGCAGTTCTAAAGTGCGTCTCTTGTGAATGGGGATCTCTGAGCTGCCAGCGGAGACGCCTAATGATCTCTGAGAACAGTGCGAGATTCCTGCGTGATATGGAGCCGAGTGAAAGAGGCGAGAGGCGTTTGCGGGTGAAAGCGGCGAGGTAGGTGGCTCTCTCTTCGGCGGGTCTGAGAGTGCCAAAGGGACGGCAAATGAAAAGAGTGCGAGAACAACGGGCGGAAAGTGAAGTGTCTTTGTCCGTCAGAGTTGTTCTGGTGGTGATTACGGGAGTTATAAGCGCATGGCAGAGTTCAGCGCCTCTGATTATCCCTCTAATGTTTCTAATGGCTTTACAGCCCTTTTAATTAGCTTGAGTTAGATCAGCGGGTCCCTCACACACGCATGGCCGTTCTCAGTTCACATGCTCATCCCTCAGAAACCCGACCCGTCCCGTCCCGATCGATATATCCTGAGCCGCGGATGATGTCGTGACATCAGAGAGGCCGAGGGAACACGACCCCGCATGCCACCTCTCTCTCTCTACACACACACACACACAGCGCTCTCTCCTCGTGCCACAACAACTACACCTACACAGTCACTGAACCCTGAAAGCGTTCTTCAGGAGGAGCTGACTAAAACTATTGTGTCAGCACTACAGTTGTACACTATACATGAACTTAAAGTCCCCTGTGGTGTAAATCCAGCGTTTAATGTTGTTTATGTGTGTATGTGGTGTTGATAAGTTGATAAGTGGACAGCATTGCTGAGTATTTCCTCCTTAAAACTGCAGTGAACCAAAGACAGTCTCAAAAACACGCTTTGAAATCGCTGCTGTTTCTGACGTCACAAACCACCTTGGAATCAATCAGATCAACGTGTGATCGTCAACCAGTGGATCTCTGAGTGAGTGGAGGCGGGGCTCATTTGCATACTCATAGAACCGCACATACTAAATGAGGCAAGGGTGTCGAGTTACATTCAAGATATTTTAAGACTTTCTTCAAGGAAAAAAACCATGGATAAAATGATGGACTACAGGCGGACTTTAACATCAAATGCCATTACACTCACAAAAATGGCTAAATAATTAGTTTAGTTCTGCTCTTCAATTGAAAACTGCTCCAAATGGAGTCAAATCAGGATCAATCCGTTGCAAGTCGCCAAGTAACACAACGCCGGCCGGATCTAAGTGCTGTATGTTGATAGTTGTGCATTGATTGAGTTTTAATCAAGAGTACCAGCACTGTTTTCCCAATCACAGATGCAGAAAGCTCATGGACTTACTGTGAGATGCTGGAAGAGCCATGCCCGCATGATGTTGGTGGCGACCTTAGGGAAGATGCCTCGCTTTTTCTGTCGCTTTTTGTCCTTGTCTGGATCGTCATCGTCGCCCGTGCCGGGTGAGGCCACGCTGTTGTCTAAACCATCTCCTGGACGGAAGAGAGAGCTTTTTAGAAAAGTGGGACACAATCTTACACACAGTGGCATTATACAAACGTACACAAACCGTAAAATACAGAGACGCCCCCACGTCAAGGCAAGGAGAACAGCAACATCAAAAAAAAATAAATTATGCAAAAGCTACAATGCGAAATACACACCCCTCCCCTTCCTGCACCTCATTTGCATACCCCGACCCCGTCAGAGGCCGGGTCTCTGCATAACCCACTTCCCAGACTTACTTTCTTTCTCCTCGGCCATTAATTGTGCATTAGCAAAAATTATTTACTTTAAAAAGTCAGTTATTTTTCTTGGCCTTGGGCGAAAATGCCTTGAAAGCCTTCCTTGAGGGCATCTAAATTATGTATCTGAAAAACTCCTGCACTACGCCGCGATATTCTACAAATTTACGCTTGCACGTCGCTCTGTTTTTGGGGAGACATCAATCACACGCACCCATACAAGCAATAATCACGCATTAATATTTCACATAATCACTTTAAAAAGGAGCAAAGAGAACAGATCCGATGGGTGGCGTAATGAAATGCAAAATACATGAAGAATACAAGGACAGTTGAAAGCCTTTCGCTCTCTGTTTTAATGTATTATGTTATCCTCTGTTTGGTTGGCCTCGCCGCGTGATACGTGCTGACGATGCAGACGTGACCCCACAGGTGTAGGGGTTCGCAACACACACTTTGAAAAGCACAGTTTGTCCATCTGCTCTAATGACATCAGGAGTGTACGCTTGTCTAGTTGTGGTGTGTTATGAGTGGACCACAGGCCAAGAGCTGGCCAGATTAATTTTATTGACGTTTCCATTTTCACTGCAACACGATAGCGTAGCGCTCGCTAGCCGGAGCGACCCGCGTGTATTTACAGACCCACGACTCGCTTCATTACCCTACGGCCCCTGAAACCAGACACACACACACACACTCACTGATAACCAAATCTATATGTACACAAATTAAACGTCTGGAGATCAGTGTGTTTTCAACAGATCTAGATCACACTAAATCAAATACATAATGCAATTTATTGACAGAGAATGAAATGTACACAAAATTGCTAAAAGGCTCATTTTACACATTCTGAGAGGGGATAACGCGGTGCGCTGGCTTCTGTTTTTAGCTGATACCAATAATCTACACACAAATCAGCCCAAAAAACGATAACTCCATCCCTAGTGAAAATATGCACACACATGACAGTGAGTCAAAGAAGTGGAAATAATCAAAAAAATGATTGGACGGGATTAGTGCAGTGAAACAGAGAGAAAAGAAAAGAAAAGAAAAGAAAAGAAAAGAAAGGGTAAACTTGCTCATTACACGTGAAGCTGCTAATCTACATGGCCCGCCGCGCACTGGTTAGCGCTGCAGCGCCGCAGGGCGAATCGTCCCAAACGCTAATGGCCTCTGACTGTTCCCTGGCAACTCTGCCATTTGAACCTGCGCGGATGTGAACTCCAGCACAAAACATGAGGACGACACGAGAGGAGAGGGGGAGGGGGAGGTATCCCATCATGCACCTCTGAGACGGGGGCAGATGAGGGGGGGTGGCTATTAGGAGACGCCCAAAGGCCTCCGGGAGACGAGGTGCTGCAGTCTCGCCCCAGGCACTTTTGGAAAAAAGCAGTACCCTTGGAGAAGGGAAAAACATGCCCTCTCTCTCTCTCTCGCTCGCTCGCTCGCTCCATCTCTGCCTCTATCTGGCTCAAACACGTCCACTGTGTGCATGTGCATTCGAGTCTGTAGAAAGAGACAGTGTTTATCCACATTAAACTAGGCCTCACTGACCCGTATAACATAGACAACCGTAAAACAACAGCTGTAATATTAGCCAGTGTTCCTGCCTTCCGATTGGTCACTACAGTGTCTAGTGATATACCACAATAGACACGTTTGTTTCGAAGCAGCCCAGTGTCTATATCAGAACACACTGTAGCTGTGACTATATTCTCAATATTAAAAAGTAAACGAATTAGACGTATAAATTAACTGGTTTTATTCGAGTCAAAAACATTATGTAATAATCGCTGAATAAACATAATTGCATTAACTTATACCACCGAAACAAATGGTCGTGGATAAAACCGGGTAGAAATAGCTGTTTAACGCAACAAGGGGTAGACTGAAGCTGTGCCGACCGTAAGAAGCCGTGTGATTATTGTCACAACTGCAACCGGAAGAGACTAAGAAGTCGGCTGAAGCTTTGTCTCGAGGAGAGGTGCAGTCACTGGTTTGTTTCGGGCTAATGGGGCATGAAGGTGGAGGCAGTGCCGTCAGAGTCCGGCTTAAAGACTCTAATTACTGAGACGCGTCCACAGGCCCGGTCCTGCTCGTGTTGGAGAGCAGTGATCCACACCGCTGCACTCACCCACAAACACACAGGTCAGAGCGGAGAGGGCAGCGCTGAACCCTGCGCCTGCTCGCCTTCACCCGTCCTCTCAGCCCAGTGTTTACTGGTGTTAATGACTCGTTTGAGACTAGTAGTACAACTGATGGACTAGTATAATAGACTAAAAAACACATCATACACAAGCAGGAGTTCATTTAGTGCTGAATAACCAACCTACACACACACACATCTGCACAAACACTCTCGTCCCGGACAGCTGCGCTCTCACGGTCATTCTCGCCGTGTTGTTTTCCTGCTCGTGTAATGTGCGGTTGTTTGCGCTGAAGAACTAAAGCTTCTCTTTTGCTTGTAAATGGAGTGGAATAAACCACTTTAATTAGATGTCTGTATGAGGAAGCAACTTACTAACACACACACACACACACATATACACACACAATCATGTCGGTGTCATCCCTGGAGTGCCACAGATTTTAGAATCTCCAAATCCTATCCTGAGAAATTTAGGTTGTTCTTTATTTTGATGGTCCCTTTAACACGTTGTGTTGACTACAAGTAACTCTACACCTTCATGTCTATTAGCTCTCATTAAAGTGTTAGTAGAGTATTAGTTATATTGACATGTAGTTGCAAATATACTTATGTCAGTAGAATGTCTGTTTGAGGAGCATCACAATAAGGAGTTAGCAGATATTAAGCAGACAGTCAACTAAAAACTCCACTAATACTCAACTAATATTCTACAAATACTATACTTATACTCTACTAATACTTATACTCTACTAATACCCTACTTTTACTCTACTAATACTTACACTCTTCTTATACTCTACTAATACTCTACTAATGCCCTACTAATACTCTACCAATACTCTACTAATACTTATACTCTACTAATACTCTACTAATACCATACTAATACTCTACTTATACTCTACTAATACTCTACTAATACTTATACTCTACTAATACCCTACTAATACTCTACCAATACTCTACTAATACTTCTAATCTACTTATACTCTACTTATAATCTAATACTCTATTTATACTCTACTAATACTTATACTCTACTAATACCCTACTAATACTCTACCAATACTCTACTAATACTTCTAATCTACTTATACTCTACTAATATTCTACTAATACCCTACTAATACTCTACAAATACTCTACTAATACCTTACTAATACTCTACTAATACTCTACTAATACCCTACTTATACCCTACTAATACTCTACTAATACCCTACTAATACTCTAATAATACTCTACTAATACTCTACTAATACCCTACTTATACTCTAATAATACTCTACTAATACCCTACTAATACTCTACTAATACTCTACAAATACTCTAATAATACTCTACTAATACTCTACAAATACTCTATGAATACTCTACTAATACTCTACCAATACTCTACAAATACTCTATGAATACTCTACTAATACTCTACCAATACTCTAATGAGAGTTAGCTGACATGTAATTGCAAAGTTACTTACAGTCAACAGAATGTTCAAAAGTGACCATCAAAATGAAGTGTTATTGTTAGGGAAAAAATGTTTGAAAAGCTTTGAGCATGAACAAACCAACTTCACAAACGACAGGAGCAAATAAAAGGTTGATAATCACATGCCAATAGTGTTTCAGAAGAGCCGATTTGAAGCGCTTGAGTAATTAGACGTGTAATTAACCTGCTACCTGTAATGCCAATTATCTCATTACATCATAAACAGGGCCTTGGAGGGGCCGCCCCTGATCGCAGTGCTGCCCGCCGCCCCTCGTCTCGTCTCTTCATTAGTCTGCTAATCACTCTGATGAGTTTATGAGACATTAAGTGTTTCCTGCATCTCTGAGCTTCTGGCCCGTGTGAAAGACAATCACAGGGAAACAACATCCCGAGAGACGGTTTAAAGGAAGCTGCACGCGAACCTATGCTGTGAGGACAACTGATTCAACACCACTGCAGAAACATGTACGGATGCAGGGCGGAAAGACCGGTGCGTTTACGAGCAGGGTTCACATTGGCCAGTGTGTGAGGGAGCATCTGCAGTCCAGAAACAATGAGATCTTCCTTTTGAGGTTTGTTGTGAAGGGACTGGAAGTCTAGAGATTCGCACACCCCAATACACACGCTGCACGGCCCAGCGACCCCACGCTCTTCCTGCAGCTTGTCGCCCAAATCAAATTACAATAATTGGCCCCAGAGGTTATTGAGGTGCATCCAAGTCTATTCTCCCTCTCTCCAGTTCGTATCATCACACTTTGAAGCTTGCATTACAATGGAGAGCAAATAATGACTGCGCACACGAGAGCCACAGCACTTTCACACCGCAGTCATTAGAGAGTTAATTACTAAGATAATTACTACAGCAAATTACATCAATTTTCACCAAAACAGGATTTCTACGGCCCGTGAACACGAGCAGAGAGAAAGACAAAGCTGTGCTGGAATAGACTTAATCTCCAGAGAGGGAATCGAGTCAAGTCAAGTCCCCTTCATTTACACAGTGCTTTTAACAATATAGATTGTTTCACAGCAGCTTTACAGTGATAACTGGAGATTGCTTAGGCTTCACAGCAGCTCTAGAATAAAGTTATTGTTATTCACTTCCATT